CCCCAAAACCCCAAAACCCCAAAACCCCAAAACCCCTCTACTATAATTTAAATTTGAATATAAATTTACACTTGGAGTCCATTAAGGTACGATTTCTTTACTCAGAGGTAGGAATGAATAGAGGGAGTAAGATAAGGGAGGATAAGAAGATTATTGGAGGTGATGAAGGTAAGCAAGGGGTGGTAGGGGAGGGGGTAGGGGGTAGGAAGGGAGTTTGGGGGGGGAGTTGGGGAGAAGAGGGTAGTGGTGGTAAGGATAATGGGAGTTTAGATTCAATGCAAACAAAAGCGTATTTGGAAAAAGCAGAGTATTATAAAAAGGCAACCTCTTACCTTGGATCTGAATGAGAAAAGCAAAGAAGAGTTATTCAAAAATTAAAGAAGAAAATTGAAGAGGCTGAAGAAGATAACTCTTTTTATGAAAGACAAATTACTGAGGAAAGGAGCAAAAAGGTATCATCACAAATTAAAGAATATGTAACTTTTATCCAAGGTATGAATCAGTTAATATTATAGATGCCCAAAGATTATTTGGTATTGATAAAATACCTGCTTCTATTCTTGATGACGAAGAAAACATATCTCAAAACATTGAACCTGAAAAGTCCACAGGGATAAATATGATGGATGTTTATAAAAATATTGGCAGATCAAGACCAACTACAGGATATATTAACCAGAGAGTGCAGCTCTCACAAAGCTCTGAAGCTGCTTCAAGGTTTGACTACGGAGCATCTCGTGCTAACGATGAGATAATGAGCTTGAATAACTACGGATTCTCTCAAAGAAATATACAATCTGCAATTCCGAGAGTTAAGACTAAGACATGTTACAGAAGAGAGTCTATAAAGAGAAAGACAGATAAAAATATGAGACATGGGAAGTTTTCGAAATTCTTAGATTATTTGTTAGAAATAAAGAATGATTCTCAAAATACTACTGCCGATGAGATCTCATCAGTAATGAAGACAAATGAATCTTCATACCACAAGATTCCGAAGAAGATTGGGATGAGAAATATGTCTGCACCAGGAAGACCTAGAAAGAGACCAACTAAGGAACAGATATCAGACTACATCATCATGACTATTGCTAAAGAGGCTGAGAACTATTTTAAACTGGACACCATGCGGAAACAAAGAATTCGAGATTCCCTAGCTGATAAACTTTTCTCTGAGAAGAAAAAGATTGACAGATTTAAGGTATAACCTCATGTATAACTATTTAGGGAACCAAAAGTATGAGATACAACGCAAGGAAAGATCCTCTATTACAAAGATCAGTCGTTATCAATGAGCTAGAGAAAGCCATCATGATTGTTAGTGAAGAAATGATGCAGAGAAGGATAAAAACTAGTATTTCTAACAGTAAGAGCAAGAATGTGGATGTCAAACAGATACAAAGTCAGCATCTGAGCAACATAGGAGAGTCCTTCTTCAAATCTAGCGACAAGAGAAAAATCTTAAGGCTGTTCTGTAACTCTGAGAGCATTAAGGAGATGATCGAGGCTTATTCAAAAGGAGAATCAGAGAGCTTAGTGTTCCTAAAGCCAGGCATGAAGGACGAGCTCGTCAATAATCCTGAATAATTTTATTTATTGGGTTATCATTCTTAAATAGAGAGAAGGGGTTTTGGGGTTTTGGGGTTTTGGGGTTTTGGGG